ATTATTTAGCCGTTTAATTGATCATTTGTGTAATCATTAAGTCTGGGTCAAGTTGATGCAAATGCTGGTAGAAATTGCCATATTATTTGGCCAGCTTTAGTAACTTACATATGGGCCATGTAGGTTATATATAACTTACCGTAACTTACCATGTAAAGTATGTTGTCAGGTAAGCTTTAACAACCCTAGTTACAATTAATTTTGCCAAATTATGTTTACCAGAGTTACGAATTAATTCTATCACCAAAATTATGTTTACCAGAATTTAATTCTACCAAAATTATGTTTACCAGAGTTGCGAATTAATTCTACCACAGAAATGATGTTAAAAATTAATTCTACCAAATTATGCTTACCGTTAGTTCCTGTGGACCAGTTTCATGTCTAGACACCCGTATTCGTCAAATATTAACACTTATTACTTCTACTTTAGCTTGTTTCTATGTTTTGCATGTAGTGGTTCAGCTCGCACTGTGAAAAATAAAAAAGCAAAAAAAAGAGAATTATAAAAAAAATAACATAGGTAAATAATTATCTTGTTTTCACTTAGAAAAGAAGACATTCAAGAAACATACGATACAATGGCGAAGCTGGTATGTGAAAAAGAAATCTCTAATAGATTATTTGATTGCAGTTAAGGATAGATATGAATTTGAATATGATTAGAAATGACTATTTTTTCTTGTAAATAAATAATTTCTCTCTTAAAATGTTTGTATGAATTATACAGAAAAAATTTTATTATTTAAGTTTAAACTTTACTAGTTAACTTTTACTAGTTGAGCTAAATCTTTACTAGCCTCTACTAGTTGAATTTCATTTTAATAGTCGGAATTAATCTCTGTTGACACAACCTTTGTTCAATTTGGAGCTCAATTTTTATAAGTTAAGCCCAACTTTATTAGTTGAGCTCAACTTTTACAACTTTTACGGGTTGAGTCAACCTTTACGGGTTGAGCCCAACTTTTGCGAGTTGAGCCCAACTTTTACGGGTTGAGCTCAACTTTTACAACTTTGTTGGTTGAGCTCAACTTTTACAGGTTGAGCTCAACTTTACGGGTTGAGCTCAACTTTTACGAGTTGAGCTCAACTTTACGGGTTGAGCACAACTTTTACAGGTTGAGCACAACTTTTACGGGTTGAGCTCAACTATTATGGGTTGAGCTCAACTTTATGAGTTGAGCTCGACTTTTACAACTTTATTAGTTGAGCTCAACTTTTACAACTTTGTTAGTTGAGCTCAACTTTATTGATTAGGCCCAACTTTTACAAATTGAGCTCAACTTATACAGTAACAAGGTACTATATAAGCGCATGATTGTGTACTATACATATTTACTAGCGCAAATACGCGTCTTTTTATAAAGATATTGTATGAAACAGGAATAAGTCTTCTTAAGTATCACTAATAAAGTGTATCACTAACAAAGTTTATATATGGTCTTTTGTCTGAAAGGCTATGTTTACAGTAGCAACTTGTAGATTAATTTATTAATTCAGTAATTGATATTCCAAGTTTTGTGAATAAACTTTACACGTAATTATAAAAAAATTACTAACAATAATCTCTGCGTTATTTAGAATGTACTGGTACAATTTTTGATCCCGATTATGATCATTCATCACATGGATGCGTGGGCAAGACACAAACTGATCGCTTCAAGTTAATATTTATTTTATTTTATGTACAACTAACCACTTAATGTTTAGAGTTCTAATTTCATGCACCTCACTAAAAATGCTACATACCAGTTTTCACTATAAATACAGCAAATAATAACTTCAAAAATTTAAGCTTAAGTGAAAGTAACTAATCAGCTGAATATCATTTGAATTTATAGACTTATTAATGACGCGTAAGACAAAAGAAATCCAGATTAGAATTCTTCAAAAGTTTTTACAAACCACTAAACTAGAAAAATACTTTCTATATAAAGTGGTTACTTTTGAGGTACGTAGCAATTTGTAGATTAATACATTACCAGATATTCCAATCCTCATAATGAAATTTACGTGTAATTGTATGAAACAAAGAGAAAGAGTCTTTAATGTCAACTCTTTATTACTGCAAAAGGTCTTTTGTCTGAATAGTTAATTTTTGCACTATATCATCGAAATTCTTAGTGTTTTTTCAATATTATGGTCACATTTTAATAAGATACGCATTATTTTCTCTATGATATTTCATGAAACAAAAGAATAAGTCTTCTTATAAAGTCTAGATATGGGGTGAGTCAATAGAAATCAAGCAAATTGTTTTTATTAAATTTTTTTTTAAAAATTTTAAATGCTAATAATTTAAACAAAAACTTGATCAAATTTTTTTTAAATAAATGCTATAAGTTTGTAGAATTTATTTTAAAAAAATTTTATTAAATTTGATTAAGTTGTCGTTAAGTTATTGTTATTTAAAGTTTTAAAAAAATTCACTTAGAAAAAATTTGCTTGGTTTCTATTGACTCAACCCCATATAGTCTTCAGACCGACTTGCTATTTTTAAGTAGCATTTTGTAAATTAATAAAACATGCAACATTAATTGATATGTTCTATAATTAGTGACTCTTCACATCTAATAGAAATTTCTACTTGTACATGGGGTGTTATATACACAGGTATTCATTAATTTATTTAACAGATCAACATAAGATAAAATTATAGTTCAAAAGCTGTTTTATTATTAGGATTTGAGATATCAATATACCTGCGTTTTATACACTAGTGTTCAAATAGAAATTGCTTACTTAATAAATAAGAGCAAACTTTATTGTAAAGAAATTATATTTCAAATTATAAAAATTTTTTAAATAAATATTACAAAAACGCAAAATTTGGGATCATTGGATGCAGTCAAGGACTGCTATTAAAATACCTTTTGAAATGTGCTAACTAATTTTAATAAATTTAAATTTCTTTGATTTAATTCTGCGGCGTTATAAATTAATGCAAATTGTTGCCTTGAGAATGTCTAAATTCTAATTAATTAGGACTTATCAATTATTCTTAATCAATTTAATAAACAATTGAAAAATTTTTTTGCTGTTTGTTGAAAAAATTAATAGAGAAATTTTTATTTATTTTTCTATCTAGGCACAAACTAATGGAGAAAACTATAAAAACAAATTTTGAAAATTTATTATTGGTTTAATAATATCAAAAATTCACCAAAACCAATTTTTGATCTTCACAAGCTTAATTTATTTACATAATAATTCATTTTATTTGATTAAAATTATCAATAATAACATAATTATTACAATTAATAATATAAAAATTTTGCCTTGATTATTTTTTGTTATATTCATTCTGGATTGATATATTTCTATCATTCTGTCAAATTTTCTTTGATTTTTATTTATTATCTCAACCTTCTCATCTATTGCATGAATTTTTTGTTCAATCTTACCAATTATTTCATCGATTATGCGTTCTTCAGGATCTTTGGAATCTGAAGAAAAATTACTTAATGTTTCACTGACATAATCAAGAATGTCTTGTTGTATGTTTGATAAATTTGTTAATAACAAATTAAATTTAGAAGTTTCTGCTCTTTCTATTGCGACCTTCATGTATCAATCCACAGCTAATGTTATAAAAATTCCTAGTATAGTGCGTTTGGGATATCGTGACAACACGCCCTCAAATTTTCTAATATCACTGACATCAACCTTCTCATCATAGTTCTTGTACTGAACTAAAATCAAGTACCCCACATAGTTTCCAAAAATATCAATACCTCCATCACCATAAGGTCCTGACAATCTATATTAAAAAAAAAGAAAAAGGTAAGTAGATGTCATCATAATCATCAAGGATATAAATATTCTGAGTGACTGAATATCAAAGCATTTATCCACGCATCCTATTCACCACAGCTCCCGAAGTTAATCAATGGCATTGTGTAAGCGAAATACACAGTAGCTTTTCAGATTATATATAATCAGAGAAGGACATTCACAGATCTGGTTATTCCAGTCAAAATAACTACCTGGGCCACGATGCACTTCCAGTTCTCTGCTTATTATATAATCCTAGTGGCAGCATAACTTCAGATGCATTAGACTAAACATTTACTTAATAAGATTATTATCTTACCTTACTCTTTGACAATCAATCTTCATAACTTTTTTAAGAATTCTAAAAACTATAAATTCAAGATTATCTCCTTTTGATGTAGAGGATAAAGTAACAAAAGAATCAGTTTTCTTATATTTATCGACTTCATCTTTATACGTAGTAATATCCATCAAATGTTTCATATTTAGTGGAACTGTTATAGATTTTAAATTTTACAAAATTTACAAAGTTGCATATATATACTTACTTAACGAATATTCTCACACCTCTCATACCAGTATTCCATTTTAGATGGGAACAACCATCAATTTGAAGATAATTATGATCGATGGACAAATTTACAAAGGAAGAAGTTTGTTTGATTGGCTAATTTTTATAGATCTATATGTGATCATCCATGATAATTAACTAACCAAATTGCATAATTTTTTAATTTATAACTGATAAATATACAAAAAAATTAAATCTAGAATTGTGTAGAATTTTATGCAGAATTATATAAAATTTTTATGTATCTTTACAAGCCCGATGTAGATTTACATATCTATTTTATATAATCTATATATATTTCTATATAGAATTATGTAAAATAGCAAAAAAAATTTAGCTTAAATATTAAAGCTAGGATTCGATCTTAAAGTTTAAATTAGGAATTAGGGTGGGTTTTCGAGCATGCTAAACATTTTTACTTAGTGCATCGATCGGTGATTATCGTAGCTACTTTTGAGAAATAGCTAAATTAATTTTATATAAATATAAGGCCAGACCAACTTGATTCTTTGTTTAACATAATATAAAATAACTGTAAAAAGGGGTGGACATTAAAAAAAACACAAAAATATCAATACTGCAATTTTATTAGTTGATTTTACATATGTTGGTTATATAATTGAGGGGAGGCAAATACTATTAATTAATATTAATGTGTATTGGGTTCATATAAAATTTAAAAAATAGAGAGGAGGGGTTATATTAAACAAAGAATTAAATTGATAGATTTTATATTTATATAAATAATAAATAAGATTATATATAAAATTCTCATTATATAAGTCTAGACCAGTGTTCGAAATCTGAGACTAAATTAGTGTTCTCATGTTCTATTTAGTATTTTTGGAGTCAATTTTTGAGTGTTCTCTAATATAAAAAATCAGCTTTCAGTTGTTCTCACTCACAAATTTGTGTTCTCATGAGACCTCTAAGAACACTAATTTCGAACACTGGTCTAGACCTATATAAAAATTTTATATAATATTTATACAACTTTATAAAGCTACATAAAGTTTATAAAAAAACCAATTGTGATGAGATAGATATATGTGAAATAAAAGTAGCATTCGGATGGGTTGAATCGATTAACTATAAATATAATCAATCAATTAGCATAGCTATATATGCATAACTATGGCCCCATCAAGCAAAGCCTGAAGGAAAATCCCTCGGGCACCATTTAACTTTCTATTAATTCAAAGTCCAACACCCATTACACCTAAACTCTTTATTTCCTCCTATATTCTTTTTGATATAACCACAACTGCTGCATGTTTTACTTGTGTATGCTTCTGAAACAGATGTTATTACAACTTTGCCAAATTCTTCCATTTTAGATATAAGTTTTTTTCTAAATCTAGCATGTGCCCAACTCATCATCTTTTGAACTGTTTACTATTAATTTTTCTTTTTTGCTGACAAAACATTCATATGCTACCAAATATTGGTAATATAATTACATCAAAAATATGAGATAACTATAATGCAACCTTAAACCCTAACCTAATTGTGAAAAAAAATCACAAAAAAATTAACAATTTAATAATTTTATAATAAAATAGACCAAATTTTTAGCATAAGCCAATTTTTAGCATAATCTACCACAACGTAAATATTATCTCTGCAGCATTTCTAATGATTGGCAAAATTATTAATCCAATAAAAGCTTCTGTCCAACCAAGAGTTTTTACCACTCCTTCAAATGAATTAACTAAAAATTCAGAAGATAAAGAAATAAGACCAGTATAGTGATGATTAACAAAATTATAGAAGATAAAAGAGGTAATTGTGGCTCTTCAACTTGTTCTCTATTTTGTATCAAACTTTGTTCCTCATCATACAAGTGTAAATGCATTTTTAATTGAAATAATAAATAAAGCATGTAAACTAATAACAATATTATTGCGGTTCCACAAGATAATACTAAAGTTCATTTATCCAAATGATTTGGTCATTTAAATTTTGAGCAAATGACCAGGTCATTTACCATCCCTAGGTTTAGGTGATAGTATAGTTTGGCCCAAGTTGTTAGTGCTAGTAAACAAATGACATAATTGCATGATCTCATATGATGTGATGATTACTAGGGTACTTGTTCTTCAAGTGTCCCAACATCTAACCATCAATGTAGTAATAGTTTTGTGAATATTATCTTTTGAACTTAATTTCTCTTTTCAAGAAATAATCAGTTGCTTTTCTGTAATTGATATATGCGTTTTCTTCATCTTTCTCGACACCT